CCCCCCCCCCCCCCGTCCCTGTAGATGCACCAGGAGGGCCGAGTGCCCACGGGCTGAGGAGCACGGCCACTGGCTGTGGAGCCGTGACGAGTCCTGCGTAGCCATCACTGGGGCTCAGCCACAGAACATGAGCCGCCGGGCCCAGGGCGAGGTACGTGGTAGGGGTGGGATAGGGGGTAGGTGTTGGGCAGAGGTGGGGCTTCCACTGGCCTGGGGGCTCTTGGGGACAACATGAAGAGCCAGCCTGGTATTACCGTACTCCCGCCTGAGGACAGGGCCGTGGTGCCCCAAGGCTGGGCGGGCGGAGGGGTCCTGGTGTGAGCCCACGTCCTTTCCCCAGGTGCAGCTGTCTGTCAGCCCCCTCCCAGCCCTGAGTGAGGACGACGAACTGCTGTGTCTCTTTGGTGACTCACCACCACACCCGGCCCGTGTGGAAGGCGACGCCATCATATGCAACTCCCCGAGTAGCATTCCTGGCACGCCGCCTGGCCAAGGTGAGGCCCCCGTCCGGTGACTAGAGTGGGCACTTCACTCTCCCTTCTGCGTGCCGTGGGGTCACGGGGGCCTGCAGTCCCAGGGGTGCAGGATGGAGAGGGAGGCTTGCAGTTCTGATTCTGGGCTTCCTGAGCCGTGTGCGCGGGGACCACGCACTGTCGGCCCCCACTCCCCGCTGCAGGGCTCTGAGTGTGGGCCAGCGGAGGATGGCTTGCTAGTGAAGGCGGGGGCCACACGGTGACATGTCAGGGACCCAGACGTCGGCCGGGAACCTGGCCCTCAGTGCCTGTTGGGACAGAGAGAGGGTTCAGCAGCACAGGCCCCTGGGGAGCAACTTGGACCCAGCCCCAGGAGCTGGCCCAGGAGCCGAGATCCGATAACGCTGGCAGGCCTGGCTGAGCCCAAACGACGTCAGTGGGGCAGCCCCTGCAAGGCCCCCCGCCCCAGCTCACAGGCTGGGATCTCCTCCCTCGGCCTCTGTTTCTGGCTGGGCCGCCGCGCCCCCACCGTGCCAGCCGGGCCCAGAGCTCTGAGGCCCCTGCCTGATGCCGTCCTCGGGTGCCATCCACAGACCACGTGGCTGTAAACATCCAACTGCTCTTCAGACGCGGCAGCATCTTCCTCACCTCTCACCTGTATCCCTTCTATGACTGCCGGGAGGCCATGAGCCTGGCCGAGAACCTGCCGTGAGTGTCTCACTGGCCCCGTGTGCCTGCCCTGCCTCTGCTGGGGGCCCCGCATCCCTCACCACCCTCTCCCCCAGGTGTATCTCCTGCTCAAGCAACCGCTGGACCTGCCAGTGGGATCTGCGCTACCACGAGTGTCGGGAGGCCTCCCCCAACCCCGAGGCTGGCATCGTCCCCGCCCACATGGTGAGGCGCTGTGAGCACCTCGTGGGAGCTGGGTGGCCCAGCCGCAGCCAGGCAGCACCTGACCAGCCCTGTTCTCTCCAGGAGGACAGCTGCCCCCAGTTCCTGAACCCCAGCCCGCTGGTCATCCCCATGAACCACGAGACGGATGTGACCTTCCAGGGCAAGAACCTGGACACAGTGAAGGTGGAGGGGGGCTTGTGGGGTGCTGGCCTGGGGGCCCTTCAGGGGCCATGGGGGCTGGTAGAGTGTCTGCGGGGCTTCTTCAGAGCCCGTTTCCTGCAAAACCAAAGTCAAAGTGCCTGGTCTGCATTCGAGCCTCCCCTGGCTCAGGACCCAGCCAGTGAGGGAGGCACTCTACGTATATTTGGGGACAGAAGGCGGAGAGGTCAAGTAGGGTGGGGGTACGTTCCTGTGGGCCTTGGAAACATAGGCAGGAGCAGGAGACAGCGAGGTTTGAGTTTCAGGTGCCGAGTGGCTGGGGAGCTGGGGTGTCACTTGGTGAGAAGGGAGCAGGGCCGTGGTAGGGAGCAGCCGAGGGCTCAGTGGGGCAGGGAGCACCCAGCTGCTGGTTGTGGGGCACAGAGAGGGCACCAGCACTATGAACACTGGGCTCAGGGAGGGGCGGGCAGG